ACTCTCCGGATGGACTCGGAGCCACACAGTATTCAACAGCTACTCACGATCTGCCTGTCGTTGCTCGCGATCGATCTTTTAAAAGAATCGATCGCGATCATTCAGCAGTTTAGCGACCTAATTACTACTGCACGCAGGTCGCTGACGTTGCGTGCTGTGTCTGTATCATACTTATCACTACGCTTAACAAGCAGATTTCATTACAAGGAAATGCTGCTTGTTACCTTTTGAAACAAAACCGGGTCGATTGAGCAATGATGCGTACTTACCACAATTGCTCAATGGCCTGAACGAAATTAGGACTAAATTTCACAACACCGTATTTTGTACATCACGGATTTTTTATGCAAAAAATACACTTTTATAACATGCAATAAATAAATAAAAAATGTAATACTTACATTTAGATTATATTGTAACATTTGAAAAAAAATAAAAAAATATATCGAGACTCAAACCAGCAGCGTCGACACTACTAACCTAGTACGATACCGCTACGATCCGCGTTCTTCGATTAAACAGCCTATTTAATATCCTCATAAGGTACATCAAAATTTTCAAATTCGATTTTCTCGCGAATGCTTGAGTAGTGCGTCTTATTACTTTACCCTGCAATACTCTACATAATCATCTATCGATCCTATAAGTTTCGTCCAAATCGATTGTTCCATCGTCGTAGTCCCCCCTTGTAAGTTTTTACGAGCGATGCTCTGACGGGCAGAGCCTCCGGCCGCGACACTATCCTAGACGATTCTACCCGCACCTGCCCGGACACCGGCTTTTATTCTCAAGCTAATCACTTTGTGATTGGCCGAGGAAAATTAGGCGACATCCGGTTCTCGAAAAGTGCAATGCAAACCATTGCATTTTTTCGGCTGCATGTGCGACCTTCAGCCGGTACGTCCTTGAGCGCGCGGTCGCATATCGCCCCGCGACTGCTGACTGGACTTCCGTGCCGGATTCCAGTTCCCCTTTTTAACACAACTACATCTAATAACTTAAAACCCACGTTTAAATGATATTCTATCATTACTTAATAATACATAATACATAACATACAACACGTAACTTATAACACAATGTTAGCGCAAGCTTACGGCAACGTTGATATGTCCGCCTTCAAAAATATTGCAATGTAAGATTACAGTAACGTTATGTGCAATGTATTTGTAATATTGAAACGCATTGCATAAATATGCAAATTGCTTCAAATTTAATAGATAAACTTTGACAATATATAAAGACATTCAAAAGANATGAGAATAAACTTATTACAAAAATGTGTAAATTCATAATCTTTTTGCACTCGAAACGTACAATCAGATATCTGAACGTAAAAAGATTATGAACTTACACAATGTTGCAATGAGTTTGTTTTCATCTGTCTTGAATGTCTTTATACATTGTCAAATTTTATTTATTAAATTTGAAGCAATTTGCATATTAAAAAAGTATGAATAAATTGTTGGTTTCATATAAAAATTATAAAACAATTTTATTTGTGTGTGTGTGTGTAATTTTACTTCATTATATATATTATATTTTCTTTACTATACTAAAGGGTTATAGCCCGACCGTTTCCATGAACCAGAACGTAACACTTGCTTGCGTATGTATTGTATAAACAGCCTTTATAATGCAAAAGTATATAATAGATTATATTAAAAATATTAATTCTGAAATGTATACAGGGTGATTCAGAACAACCCGTTATCCTTGAAAATACATATTCTTGACTAAATCCTAAGACAACTTTTTATGTGGCAAAATTTTGTCTGAAGCTTACTTTTTGAGTTCTTAATAAAAATAGTTGACGTACCATGAGTCGGATCCAAGAGGTAGGCAGGGGCGGCGCAACTCACCGTGATTGACAGTGATTTATGTGATGTACCGATTAAATGATACAACTTACGAATGAGTAAATAAATAAGTGAGAGAAAAAGAGAGAGAGAGAGACAGAAAAAGATACAGAAACAGTGCGTAGCGATCAGCTGATCGCGTCAGGCACCACACGTAATCGCCCGCGTCTCACGGTGAGTTGCGCCGCCCCTGCCTACTTCTTGTATCCGACTTGTGATAAGTCAATTATTTTTATTAATAACTCAAAAAGTAACCTTCAAACAAAATTTTGCCAGATAAAAAGTCTTAGAATTTAGTCAAGAATATGTATTTTCAAGGATAACGGGTTGTTCTGAATCACCCTGTATATTGATTAAAAATAATAACATAGACAAGTGTGCAATTGTGCTGGGAAAAATGCCAAGAAAATATATTAATTACGACACATATTATATCAATTACATTATTTCTGAGATAGAAGATACTATTTTAAGTACCAAGAAAATTTTTATATACAAATACACAAATATCACGCTGTAAAAAATTTGAATATATTAATGTATAAAGAAATATTGACAAAGTAATAATGTGCTGATGTGAGAAGTGACTTCGGATTTGTCAATAAGAAAGAAATTGCAAAAATAAGCAGTCCAAACCAGCAGAGGTGTTTTGACAGATAATGAAGTATTATACATATATACCCAGCAAACAATTTGGTTGCCAGATGTCGCAGTTTTGTCGCCAATTGCCGGCGAAATTAGTAGACCAAATCCATATCCATCTGTGTCCTCATTAGGATATGATTTGGCGACCATATCTGTCAAACATGTGAGATGTCAAAATGAGACCAAAATCATAACAAGTCTGCCACTAGCAAAGCAAAGCCAAAGTGACGCACCAAATCCAGAACAGATTTGCTGATCGTTTGTTGGCGCCAAAATCGCGCCAAATACACATCATATCTGTTACCAGCACTGTTAACAAAACAGTAGCAAGTACAGACCAAATTTGTCGTCAGAAACGTCGACAGATTGCTACCAAACGCAAATCAGATCTGTCCCCTAGAATCCAAGTGGAATTACTACAAAAAAAAGAACATCAGTGGTATATCGCCTTATCGGAAAGAAATTAATTCGAGATTTCACTCGAATTAATTTCTAGAAGCCTGATTCAGCTCGTTGATCAACCGATGAACTCCATTGAAAAAGACCGAATCTGAAAAAATCCTAAATGTGATAGCGGGATTTGAACTCGAGACCTCCATATTCGCAGCCCTTGCACTCAGTCCGCGAGACCACTTGTGTTCCTCACTAACATATAATTATGTATATGTATGTATGTATATTGTTTATTGCTTTCCGGCAAACCGGATTTACAAGGCGTTTTTTAAAGAAACGTATCCAAAACTTTACAGACTCTCGCCGCTTAACTCTAACTTATATCCTATCCTAATTTAACCTAACCTAACCTAACTTACTCTAACTTAATCTAGTTTCACAAGGCGACGAGGCCGCGTGTCTCCACACCGCTTCCTCACCTTTTCACCCCACACACCCCCCCCTCTCGGGCTTCCGCTTCCTTTCGCCTTTCCTGTACATCTTTTCTCTCTCTTCCCCTCTTCGTCCCCTCACAAACACTTTCATCCTTCCATCTTCTTCCTTTTACTCTCTCTCATTCCACATTCCAGCAGTCACTTTCCTCCTTCCACTACACCTCCTCCCCTCTCCCTCTCCCTATCCCTTTGAGTCCTCTCCCCTCCCTCCCTCCATACCTCTCCTTTCTCTTCC